ATACCAATTTGCCCGCCCACATGGGCCCTGAGGCTCTAATTCTGGACGCCAGTTCGGACTCTGCCTTTTAGGCAGCACCCTGGGCCACCTGGCTGTCACCCACAGGTGCATGCCCTCAATGGCTCACCAGGGGCCCTTGGGAGGGGATGCAGACTGCATGTGATAAGCCAGAGCGGTGTCCTTTGGCCCCTCGCCCTCCTCTCTGGCCTGGTCTGCACCCAGAACTCTCTCTCACTCTTGCCTGCGCAGGTGGTCCCCTTGCCCAGCGCATCCCCACACTGCCACCGCTGATGATGTGCCTGGGTATGTGTTTCCCCCGACTCTGTCCTCCGAGTTAGGATTCTCCAACCTTGACTTCCCTCCCAGCTCTGCTCTCTCTTCCCAGGAAGGCCATCCTCACTATGAGGCCACTTGCCCTTGGCCCGTGTGTGTGTGTGTGTGGATGTGGATGCACACGTGTGGAGGAGAGAGGGAGCATCCCAGGCAGGGGAGAAGCATGGACCCCACCCACCACGCTGCTCTTCCTTCTCCTGTCTCCTCCAGGCCTTTTTTTTCTCCTGCTGTGTTTTGCATCCTCCAGGCTCCCAGGGCCCTCCAGCCACATCTCTTAGCCAGTTTGGAACCCAAGGGGACCTTGGGAACCTGCAGCAGTCGGGTATCACATCAGTGGTTCTGCACTGGGACTAGGGTGGCTCAACCCTGGAAGCCTGGGAGTTGCCTACATCTTTATTCTCAATGCCCAAGTGCTGCCGTCAGATCTGGACCACGCAGCCTGCATGGACGTCTGCCTGGCAACCCAGCTGAGACAGCCGGGAGGACAGGCAGGTGCCCACGCCTACAGCTCATGGACCACAGGCCATGACCGCAAATTCCCGAGGACCAAGCGGGTCCTGGCTGGAGGCTGGCAGCGCGTCCTCAGATCACAGGCAGGGACCACGGCGTGGGGAGAGCTCCCTGCAGCCAGCACGGGCCTCCACGCCTGTGTCCAGGGCGCATCTCTTCCCCTCTGCTTCCCAACCCCAGCAGCTCAGGTTCTAGGCACTCCCCTGGGAGAGGGCATCCCCAGCTGACCAAAACTGGGCCCAGGGGCTCCAGTCCGCCCACAATCCCCTCCCCTCAACACCCTCTACACCTCTGATCCCAAAATCACATTCCCCTTTTCACACAGCTACTTCGTTTATCATTGGCCTGAGACACCTTGAGTCTCTCTGACTTTAGACCACACCCTGGCCATCCGGCTTGGGGTCTGCAGGTCTGTGCCCACCCTGCGCACCTCCACGCTGCCTGGCCCTGGCGTCTGGCGCTCCCACTCCCGAGGACAGGCTAATGCCCTGCTTCTTCCTTATGTCCCGTGGGGCGGAGCCGGCCACTCCATAAGGGCTTGTCAAAACACAGACCGATAGGAAAGCAAGGATGTTGGGAACACAGATCAATGAGGCCTCTCTCCAGAAGCCCTGCCCCCCTCCCGGCCCCCATGCGCGGAAGGCCCGACTCAACTCACAGGCATCTCATCTGCCTCGCTCTTCCAGAGCAAGTGTGTCTGGTGAAGACACAGCCGTTTCGGAATGCGTGGTGCGTGCTTTCTGCAGGTGGCCATGGTGTGGCCTCCAACAGTGCTCGCACGAGGCTGGCCTGCTCGCCCTGGCGACCAGCAAACGGCCTTGGCTGTGGGCCCTTCTCCACCTGGGGCTGGAGATCACCAGCGGGTTTGCAGAGCAGTGTCTGGAGATGGGAGCACGCTGAGAAAGATGCCGTCATGGGCATTCTGGGGGAGTAGCATGGCCATGGGCACCGCCACCTAGGCCAGAAGTGAGATCTTACTCCGCTGGCCCAGGGACCTCCTGGATTTACCCGTGACTCCAGAAACTGGCTCACACGGCCCAGATCTGCCAAGCCGCTGGGCTGGCTAAGTGACTCCAGGCTCCCTCCATGGTGGCCACCCAAAGAGCAAGCCCAATGCTGGTCTCTGGCTGGGGTGTGGGATCTGGGCAGGAGATAGCCTCGGGCTCCACGACGTGGTAGGAGTCAGGCCAGCAGCGCACGTGAGCCCTGCTCAAAGACAGCAAACACTTCCTGCTTGTCCTCGCTTTCCCGGAAAGGACTGGGAACGAGGCCTTCCAGGAGGAACCCAGATCACCTCTTACCTACCGCTCCCTTCACCCAAATTTCACGACCTCATAATGAATCTCTTCGCCGACCACAGTTCCGGTCCTACCAGCTCCCAGAAATGCTCGCACAGGCAGACAGAAATCCGACGGTGTCTTAAGCCAACTGCCTCTTGCAGACACCAAGCCTGCACCCCGCCAACACTTAAAGGAGCCAGCACACCACATGAGCAGTCAGCTCTCAGTATCCCCAATGTGCACAAGGCCATCACCCTTCACGGGCCCCTGGGCCGCAGCCCTTGTGGCACAAGGTCCACCTGTGAGGCTTTTTAAAACCCTCAGCAAGAGCCAGGCCCAGGCCAGACTCTCTGTATTTACAAAGGAACCCAGACATGAGCCATCTTTCAAAGGGCCCCAGGCCATTTGGTTCTCAGAGTGGGGGATCATCGGGAGAAAGTCATGGACTAGCGGCCTCAAAGGAGAAGCAGATACAGAAAGACCACCGCCTTCACGGTGACCTGAACTCCACGGCCACCCAGGGCTTCTGCTGGGTGTCTCGGCGTCACATGTCCCAAGCTGACCGAGCACAGAAGGGCCAACTGCGGCAGCTCGGCCAGAAGAGCTTCCCCCGAAAACTCCTGTCCACCCCGAACCTGCTCAGGTGACCTTATTTGGAATGAGGGTCTTTGCAGATGTGATGGAGTTAAGAGGAGATCATGCTGGATTCAGGTGGGCCCTATGCCCAGGGACTGGGGTCCTTCTAACAAGAGACGGATTGGGACAGATACATGCAGACAAACCCACGTAAAGACAGAGGGCAGAGAGGCTGGAGTGACGTGTCCACAAGCCAAGGAAAGCCAAGGATGGCGGCGGCCAGCAGGAGCGGGGAGAGAGACACCCGGAGCAGACTCTGCCTCGGGGTCTCCGGGAGGAGCCCACCCCGCCGACACCTTGACTTTGGACTTCGGGCCGCCTCAGCTGTGACAGAGACAACTGCTGTTGTTTTGAGGCTCCCCCATTAGCGGATTCAGTGCAGCGCACAGGGATCTCACAGCCGGGGCTCTGCTGTGCAAGTCTGGTGTCGGCAGCCCGACTGGGCCTCTGAGCTGGGACGGGGTCAAAGTTTGGGCTCCTTAGTGATTTGGATGCAAAGAAATGGGACACACGTGCCAGGAGATCCAGGTGGAGGTGAGAGGAACGCACACAGCAAGAAGGAACCTGAAGGCTCGCTGAAGCTCCTCAACCCTGACCCTTTGCTGCCCCGGCTTACTGGGCAGGCCAGGAAGCGGCTGGAAATTCTTCCAGCAGCTGAAGAGTGTGAGGTGGACCTGAGGCCCAGCCCCTTCCTGCAGGCTCCTGCGAACCAAGCCCAAGGGCCTCACGAGGTTCCTTCTGGGCCTTGGGACCATCCTGCCCTACAGCTTCATGGGCAGGAGCCTGGCCGTGTCTCAGCAAAGGGGCCCGGTCAGGCCCGGATGCCCAGCGGACACCCCAGGGGAAGGCCAATGTGCATCGCCCTCAAACCTGCTGGGCAAGCCAAGTTGGGGAGCCAGCCTTACTTAGGTCCCCCGCCTCGGGGTTTATGGAAAACTCCTCTGCAAGCACGCAGGCCCCTCGTTCCACACCAAGATGGCCAGAGCCATGTGATGCCCACAGGTAAGAACACCTGAGGTCTTCCTGGGCCAAGTGGCAGGTCAATGGGGCCAACTGGGGTGTGGCCAGGGGCTGTGGGGAGCTCAAGAGGGCATGGCCGACAACAGGAGGAACCCAGGGACCCCGGCTCTGAGTCTGCACAGGTGGGGGCAGCCAGCCTCACCGCATCTGGCCTGGCACCCGGATGCTCCGCTGGCTGAGGCTTAGAAGCACAACATAAACCTGTTGAGAAACCAATTGTGCGGGGCAGTGACCCCCCTGCTGTGCACCTGTCCTTGTGGCTAAACTAGACTCGCCCCGGGAAATCCCGGCTGACCCTCGCCAGGACAGCTGAGGCCCTGACGGAAACCTCTGGGGTCCTGGGGTCCAGCTGGTTCCTCCCATTTCTGCCACCTTCTCCCCACTTGTCTCCGGCCCCTGCAAGGATCCAGGATCGAAACAAATAATGGGCTGCTCCTCCCTCCCGGGCTCACCCCCACCTTTGAGGGGCGAGGGGCGCAGAGGATGAGAGACATTTTCTGAGGGTTCTCCGCGGCCACGCAGCCCCACTTGGCCCCAAGTCTCCAGTGTGCGGGGATGTCCTGGGAAAGCGGTCCCCGCAGCGAGCCTCTCGGGGACCCTCCTCCCGCCGGGCCTGGCCGCAGGGCCCCCCTCCGGGCCAGGGGCTGCCCCTGCGCGCCCGGGGAGCCTGGGCAGAGCCGGGAGGCTCCCCTCTGGGCCCCAGCCCAAGCCAAGGTGAGCCCCGAGCCGGGCTGGAGGCAGAGGCCGGGGCTGAGCGGGCAGCCCGTCCCCTCCCAGCCCGGGCCCGGAGCCCAGCTCCCGCTCGGCCGTGAAAGTTTCTCGGGGGTCCCGGTCCTCCCGCGCCCGGGCCAGGCCTGCCCCACCGCGCCGCGTCCCCGCTCTCCCCGCCCCCCGCGCTGGCATCCCCGGGCCCTCCGCCTGCCAAGCCCGGTCCGCTCCCTGGCTCCCTTCTTGGGGCTGGGGCTGGGGCTGGGGCTGCGGAGGAATTTCGGTGGAATTTGAGGCTGAGAAGCATCTCGGCGGAGACGCAAAGAAAGGGAGACGCGAGGGGGGAAAAGAAAGTGCGATCCTGGCGTCCACTTGCAGGACTCCGGGAGGCCCGAGGCCGGCGTCCGGGCGTGGGCCCGGGCGGGGCGGGGCGGGGGCGCGGGGGGCGCGGGGCGGGGGCGCGGGGCGGGGGCGCGGGGCGCGGGGCGGGGGGCGCGGGGGCGCCGAGCTCACCTACGTCCGCGTTGCAGAACGCCTGTTGCGGGTGCACCGGGGAGCAGCTGCAGGCGTCGGCCGGGCGCGGCAGCGTCGCCAGCAGCAGGAGGCCGAGCGCCAGGCGCAGGCTGCGGGCCGCGGCGCCCATGGCGGGCGGGGGCGCGGGCGCGGGCGCGGGCGCGGGGCGCGGGGCTCGGCCGCCGCGGGTGTGCGGGCGCTGGCCTCGGGGCGCGCCGGGGCCGCCCTCCGCACCGGGCCCGCGCTCGCCCGCGCTAACTTTCCCGGGTCGCTGGGGCGCGGGGCGCGGCGGCGGCGGGGCCGGCGGGGGCGGCGGGGGCGGCGGGGGCGGCGGGGGCGGCGGGCACCGGGGCCTGCGCTGCCTTCTACGGGTGCGTGCGCTGCGGGCGCGGGCCGGACCGGCCTTTTATCGCGCTCCGGGGCGTGTCGGCTCCGCCCCCCGGTGGCCGGCGGCCAATGCGGCTCCGGGAGCTCCCGGCCGCCCCCTCCCCGCGCCCCCGCCCTCCCCCGGACGCCGCTTTGTTGTGCGCGGACCCGCCAACCGTCCGGGCCCAGCGCCGCGCACCTGGCCCCGCAGCGCCCCGACCCCCGCCCCCGCCCCCGCCCCCCTCCCCTCGCAGGTCGCCCGGGGGCGGGGCGGGGCGGCGCCCAGGGGGCCCTCACCCAGCGCCCGGGACTCGCAGCCCACCCCCCTACCCCCTTCCCTTCCCCTTCCCCCTTCCCTCCCCCTTCCCTTCCCCCTCCCCTTCCTTCCCCTTCCCCCTTCCCTCCCCCTTCCGTTTCCTCCCCCTTCCCCTCCCCCTCTCCCTTCCTTTCCCTCCCTCCCCCTTCCCCTTCCTCTCCTCCCTTTCTTCCTCCCTTTCTCCCTCCCCCTTCCCCCCTCCCCCTTCCCTCCCCCTTCCCCTTTCCTCTTTCCTTTCCCTTCTCCCTCCCCCTTCTTCCTCCCCCTTTCCTTCCTCTTCCCCCTTCCCTTTCCCTTCCCCCTTCCCTTCCCCTTCCCTCTTCCTTCCCCTTCTTCCTCCCCTTCCCCTTCCCCCTTCCCTTCTGCTTCACTTCCCTTCCCCTTCCCCCTTCCTTCCCCTTCCCCTCCCCCCTTCCCTTTCCCCCTTCCCTTCCCTTCCCTTCCCTTCCCCTTCCCCTTCCCCTTCCCCTTCAGCTTGGCACAGGAGCCAGACACTTCCCACCCCTGGGGGTCCCTGAACTGGGGCCTGGTGCACTCCAAGGAGGGACCCCTGACCACCAGTGCCCCTGGGGTGGGGGTGGGGGGGCTAGGTGGCCTGGGGAAGCTTCCTGGAGATTCCTTTTATAAATGGAGGTCTTAGAATTTTAAGTGCACTTGGCCAGTTCAGACAGAGGGGGAGGGGGAGTGGTTACTATGAACAAAACAGGATTTTATATAAACTGGCCATATTTTTGACGAGCCAACAAGAGCCAGGGGGGTGGGCCTAGGAGTCCAGGAGGCGGTGCGATTGGAGGGAAGCATTTGCTGGGCTCTGCTCACACAGTTCTGCTTTAGCCCACGAATGTGGGACTGAGGACTTCCACCCCCCAAAACAGTTCTGTGTTCCCAGAAAGGCCGGATCTCCCAGGTGCAGAAAAGCCTGTGAAGTGTGGCCACCAAGCGCCTGTCACTGAGGCTGCCCTGGGCCCCTTGTGGTCGGTGCTCTTATACACAGGACCCTGCTCTTGCCCACAGGACGTCTGTAATCTAGCTGGACGGTTGTCAACCGAGAATGACACCATTGCGAGTAATTGGCCACTAAACTGTGTGGTGCCGACTCGCCATAGGAAACTGTAAAACACTGGAAGGCTGGGGGGAAAAAAAACAAAAAACCGAAACGGTTTCTCTCTGTTTACGTGTGCTTTGCAGCACACAACTGGGAGCAAAGTTAGATAGGCAGAGTGGTTATTTTTAGTACCCTGCCCAATCCAAAAATCACTTTTTCAGCTTTTGTCCGGGTCAAATAGAGTTGTGTCGTTTTGAAGTGAGGTGGGGTGCTAACTTTTTAGTCGTGGGTTCAGAAAATTGTAACACTACGGCTGCCTCTGCCTTCCCCCCTCCGTCTTTCTTTATTACAAGTGGAAAAAAAATGTCAAAATGCAGTTGAACTTTACAGAATCCCAAGTCGATTTGTCAGCATATGAGAGAAACAGATAACCTGGGGACGCCTTGTCCAACGGGCGAGATACACGCATAAGCAATCAAGTACACATGAGAGTGATAACTACCGTGGAGGTAGGTTTGATGGTGGCACAGGTTGGGGGGCGGGCAGATGGCTATTGCATGGGGGTGGAAATAAGGGACCTGGCCTACCTGCCTGCCCGCCTCCCTTCCTTCCATCAGCAGTGCTTTCTGGTGCATCTACGGGGGAGGGGACGGTGTCCTAAAAGCAGGGTATTCAGAAATTCAGAACAGGGCACCTGGGTGGCTCAGTCGGTTAAGCATCTGCCTTCGACTCCGGGTTGTGACCCAGGGATCCTGGGATAGAGCCCCACATTGGGCTCCCCGCTCAGTGAGGAGTCTGCTCCTCCCTCGCCCTCTGCCCCTCGCTCTCACTTGTACTCTCTCTCTCTCAAAATAAATAAACAAAATCTTAAAAAAGAAAAGAAATCCACAGAACAGACAAAAGTCCCAGGGGCAGTGGGTAGAAAGACCCCTGAGCCAGTGAAGGAGGAGGAACATGAGGAAGGGAACCAGCTAGGACCCACTTGTTGTCAGGGGGGCTGGGAGGGGAGGGGGCACACATTTTATTTTGAGTGAGTTGGGAGCTTTTGGCGGGTTTTGAGCAGAGGGGCAGGGCAGGTCCCTCTGTAAGGATGGAGGGGGGGCGTGCAGAGGGGGCGAGCATGACTCAGACACAGCAGCCCAGCCACCTCGCCAGCCCGCCAAGCTTCTGCCTCCCCTTCCGAGAAATTAAACCATTAAGCCATTAAACCCCCTTCCCAGTGGATTCCTCTGAGTGGCGGGCCCGCCCTCTCAAATCTGGTGCATGTGCGCTGTTACCACGAGGCAGCAACGCATCAGGTGACTCTCATGAGGGCGCAGCAGGTGAAGGGACAGAGCAGTCCCTGAAACCCAGGCTCCTCCCCCAGCCCCGTGTCCCCCACCCCAGCCATCTGACCGCCACCTGATGCCTGCAGCAGCCTTGGCTCCTATGGCCCTCCCTCTCTGTTCTTCTTCCCATCCTTGACCTGGTCTTCCAGGTGGTATCTTCCATCTCCAAACCAAGGAAACCGAGCCTCAGATAAGGAATGTACTGAGGATAGGAGGGGATCGGAATCTGGCCGCTGGCATCCACAAGAAGGTCTTCTACGGGCTCTTCTCTCCATGGCCAAGAGAGATTGACAAGGCAAGGTGACCTTGGGACAAGGGCTCCCCCCCCCAGGAGGAGGGCAGGGTCAGGACACCCCCCCCACCTCCTGGGGCTCGCTGCTAACCGGCCTCCTCTACCTTGATACCAGGGAGTGAGCCAGTGCGGGGGCCATGCAGGAGATCCATTCTGATGACGGCCTGCTGGACGTCAGCTTGAATCCTCCCCAGGGCCTGACTCCGGGCTGAGTCAGGATAGACAGGAGGGGGCCTGCACCTGCCGGGCCAGCTGGGGAGGGGGCCTTCCAGGGCCTTCCAGGGGACCACATTCCTGGGCCCAACCGCTGACCCCCAGAAACATCCACCCTGCGCCTGCCTCCCCCACCAAGGGATGTTTCCAGCGCAGAGCGCAGCAGAGCTGTCACCCATCCCACTCACAGCGGGGCACGCCCAGCAGACATGTCCTGGACTCTGCTTGGCAGGATCAACACTGACCGGGGCCAGGAGGAAATACCAGGGCCTCCTCCCTGTTGCTCTGTCAGGTACACAGAGTCAGGGTGACCTCCCAGGCCTCGGGCAGGAGGCCCTGCCAGAGCAGGCTGTGTCCACCCAGCCCTGGGGGAGGGCACCCACCGGAGGCGGGTCTTCTCCATAGACTCACTCTCTCCACTTGGAGAAGATCTACTCCCTCCCGAGTGTGGAGCGAGTGTGGAGCGTTCTCTCCCTGGAGACAGCTGGAGTGGGACTGAGGGCTTCACACTCCTTCTGGCAGGTTCCAGGGAGCCAGACGCTCCACGGCGTATGGGCATTAAAACTGGCTCCACAGGCCCGGGGAAGCTAGATGCAAAAGGGCGGGAGTGCCTCTGACCGCTCTAGGTGGGGCGGTGGGGAGTGGGCGGCCATGCGCGGAGGTGGGGGACATCGGTGCGCCTGGCTATCTGGGAGGTTTCCGGGGTGGTGGGTTGCGTGGCTCTCGGAGAGGCGATCGGGATCACCATGGGCCCCCGTCCAGTCTGGGCGTCTGACTCACGGCCACATGGGCAGGTGGTGTCCCCCCAGCCCAGATATCTGTTCCTCATGTTCCTTGGCGAGGGCTGTTGACCACAGAACGTCCACGATGACAAGAAGGTGAGTCAAGAAGAGGCAGGGCCGACTGTGGCCTGGAGATGGGCTGCAGTTCCCTGCACTAACTGCTAACTGCGTGCTCGTGGCCAGCGGTGGACGCTCCAAGGACCTTCCACATCCATTCACTTCATTAAGGACCTTAGGAGCCGTCTTGGGCCGGGGCTGACTTCCCTGCCTCAGGGGTGCTGACCTCCCGGGCCAGACTGTTCTCCTGCTGGGGCGGGGGCGGGGTGGGGGCAGGGGGAGCAGGCCCTGTGCACTGTGGGTGTTGAGCAACATCGCTGGCCTCCACCCTCTAAATGCCAAGGGCACCCCCCGAGTTCTGACAACCAAACACATCCTCAGACATTGCCTAATGTCCCTGAGTGAGAGCGAAACCGCCTGGTTGATCACCACCAGCAAAGGGAAGCTTGATAAAAATCTCTGGACTTGAGAAAGCAAAATGCAGAGAGAGATAAACAAGCCTCGATTCCTGTAGCGCCAACATGAGTGCATGTGGTGGTGGGGGGTGGGTAGCCGTGCCAGCCCGTGACCTGCACCAGGGCACGCGGGATGGCGTACCAGTCTGTCCACGTTGGTTCTCCAGGGAGACGAGGAGGGCAGACGATGTTTAAAGGGTTGGGTTTTTTTTTTTTCCTGCAAGTGTCCATGAGAAAACAGCACACGTAATATTTCTTTTACATGACGTTACTTACACGCAAGGGCCGAGCCACACAAGTAAGAG